ATACAAAAATTAGCCAGGCGTGGGGGCAGGCACCTGTGATCCCAGCTAGTCAGGAGGCTGAGGTAGGAGAATCACTTGAACCTGGGAGGCGGAGGTTGCCATAAGCCGAGATCGCGCCATTGCACTCCAGCCTGGACAACAAGAGTGAAACTCGGTCTCAAACAAACAAACAAAAAACAAACAAACAGTGTTGACCTCTTAGCCCTTCTGGAAAGGGTCTTGGGGATCCCGAGAGGTCCACAGAGCTCATTTGGGGAACCACTGGTTTATCATGTAGGCACAATGCATTAGTTTTACAAAATTTAAAGTTCATCAAAGACTGGCCTCTTAAAATGGCAGATGAGTTTTTAATTCAAACAGCAGAAAACACATAAATACATCACGAGAGTGTACTACACAGAACTAAAGAGAAAGGAAGCTAGGAAATCTGAATCACGTTTACATTTATTAAAATTCATCACTACTGCTTTGTAAAACATTCTTGTGTTTCAGTGTGTGGTTAGAAGAGTGAAAATATATTTGGTTTGTTGCCATTGCCTGTTAGGGAGAGTCAGTACTTACGGGCATTTCTGACTGGTTACATATAAAAGACTTCACAGAACAGGACATGAAGTCCTCAGAAAGAAGAAGTCAGAAAACCCTCTGCAAGTCAGGATCCAGGAGAAAAATTTGTAAAAACTGCTTCGGTAAAGTAAACAGCAAAGCACACAGGAGGCAGTATTTTACTAAACATATGTGATACTAATATATTAACAGTTTTTGAAGTAATGCACATTCTTATTTTATAGACATGCAGATGGATCTTTGAGCATATTTGATGAACAGTTATACTCATTTACGGTAAGTGGCACTTTTATTGAGATTGTATTTTCATCATACACTTGTATCTGTTTCATGCTGAAGTCAAAGGCATCTTTTTAAAAATCTTCCCCATTTCATGTTGTATTTAGTCATCTTAAGTGTTGTAAAAAGAATGTGCTGGAATAGGAACTGATCTACAGCTCTGTTTAGTTAGTGAGCTAGTATGAGTAAATATACTATCCAAATAACAGAAAATGTATTTTTTTTTTTTTTTAATTTTTGAGACAGAGTCTCTTTCTGTAGCCCAGCATGGAGTGCAATCGCACAATCTTGGCTCACTGCAGGCTTTGTCTCCCAGGTCCCTGTTCAAGCAATTCTCCTGCCTCAGCCTCCCGAGTAGCTGGGATTACAGGCATGCGCCACCGTGCCCAGCTAATTATTTCTTTCTTTTTTTTAAGTAAAGAGAGGGTTTCACCATGTTGGCCAGGATAGTCTTGAACTCCTGACCTCGTGATCCACCCACCTCGGCCGCCTTAAGTGCTGGGATTACAGGTGTGAGCCACTGTGCCTGGCACAAAAAATGTATCTTTTTAAAAGGTAATTGTGAGCTGTCTATAGGACCCTGCAAGTCATTGCCCAATTCTCGAAGCCATTCCTTCTTCTGTTCCACACAGGTTTCCACCATGCACATTACCCAGACAAGAAGTGGAGGTGGGAGTTTTAGTAAGGATTCCTCCTTCATTCCATCGACTCCCAGCACCAGCCAGGAGGACCTTCAGATCAATGTTCCTCCCACTGCAGACACACCCACGCCCGTTCGCAAGCAGTCCAAGCGCTGGTCCAAGCTGTTTACATCTGAGAAAGGGAGTCACCCAGACAAAGAGAACAAAGCCCGGGAGAGCCATGCTGACACCATCGGGAGTGGCAGAGCCATCCCCATTAAACAGGGCATGCTCTTAAAGCTAAATGGGAAATGGCTGAAGAAATGGAAAAAGAAATATGCCACCCTCTGTGACAATGGCATGCTCACCTATTATTCAAGCTTAGGTGATTATATGAAGAATATTCACAAAAAAGAGATTGACCTTCGAACATGTACCATCGAAGTCCCAGGAAAGAGGCCACCCCTAGCCACACTGGCCTGCGCACCCATTTCCAGCTCTAAAGGCAATGGCCTATTCAAGGACATGAACAGTCTATGTACCTCAGCCAATTCAGACACCGGACTGGGTGACTCCATATGCTCCAGCCCCAATATCTCCAGCACCACCAGCCCCAAGCTCAACCCACCCCCCTCTTCTCATGCCAACAAAAAGAAACACCAAAGGAAGAAATGCACCAACAACTTAAAAGACAATGACCTGTCTGGCACTGCTGAAAAACAAGCAGAAAACTTTATCATTGTGTCCCTCACTGGCCAAATGTGGCACTTTGAAGCCACGTCATATGAGGAGCGAGATGCCTGGGTCCAAGCCATCGAGAGCCAGATCGTGGCCAGCCTGCAGTCATGCTAGAGTAGCAAAAGCAAGTTCCGGCTACTTTAGACTAGCACAATGTTATATACTAATAATCTTGATCCTTAGCTACATTTCTCTGCAATAAATTTGCTGTGATGCCATGATGGGGATCAGCAAGCTACGTTTTCCAAGTTCCTTCTAGTGGGATCCTGCTAGGTTCTGCTATTGGAAGGTACTAGAGAAACATAGAAAGGCAAGAGAATGGAAGAATAGATCTCCTTTTCCTGTTTATTTGCTGTCCTTGCCAATGTTCTCCCAAGAACATCCCCTTGCCGTAGGAACAGTAATTGTTGCAGTTTACCATTTTTTTCAGAGCCCCAGAAAGTGCCTCTTCAGAGGTAACAGCAGCAGTTGGAACATATCTCTCCCTCAGAGATCTAGTCTCAGCCCAGGAAGGCTTTTACTCTGAGTTTTAATTGTAATAACTCCAGTCTCTTCCCTTTGTTCATCTAAGCTTCTGAGGAGGCCCCTATGTGGCCAGGAGATGGTGGTGATGGCTGCATCTTGCAGTCATTTTCTTTGCTTTCCACAGTGTTGTTACTTGTTTCTCCTATTTCCTATGTGGTCAATGTTTT